GCATCGGCCGCGGTTTGGGGGGGGGTCTGCCCTTCTTCACGCCCCAAGCTGTGAGGAGCCGGCGAAGATCTGCTTTAATTCATTGAGATTCCTGCCTCGTTCGCAGACTACGATTGCTATGGATGGGGCTGGCGGCTTCTTAATAATATCCCCCCCCCGGCTGGGAAAATGCCCCCAGTCTTTGAACCCCGAAAAGAACAAAAGCTGAGGAAGGTGAATTTTGACAGAAAACAATCTTCTTGGCTTAACTTGATTTTCATTCCTTTTTTCCCCTCCCCCTTTTGATCCTTTCTTTACAGACCTGTAGCAGATACTTAAAATCCTAGCTAATGTACATTTTACCTGGGAGCAAGCCCGAAAGAATCTAATGCTTCATTTTGAGTGAAACACTCACAGCAGTGTGTTGTTGTAGTGATATAAACCTCAGTCCAGCTTCCTTGAAAGCCTGCCTCACAAAAAAAAGCGGGAGTCTGTTAAGATGGTTCAATTTTAACAGGTCCCATGGGTGGCCAATACTGGAGGAATTTATGCTCCATGTAAAACACAAAAAATATCCATAAAGCTTGAGAAGACGGTATATCCCAACCGGGTAATGACGACACTGTGCCGCAGAGCTATAAAACAATAAAACAAAGTCAGTTTTTAGGCATCGTTGTTGGGTTTGCTGGAACAGATTGAAAGCATTCCAGTGCTGGAAATATTATCCCCCCCCCCAGCTTCCACCTTGGTGTAATAAGATGTGGTAGTCTTCTGTGCATAGCTTCTTGTGAACAAAGAAATACAGAAAAATCTAATCCCAGTTCAGAGCTGTTTAAATAGATTGGGATGAAGGAAGGCACAGGGATTTTCCCCTAACATGGCTTAAAAGAAAAAAAAAAGTGAGTGAACAAGATGGTGACCCAGTTACCATCTTGGTTAGAAAAGAATACTTCACAATAGGTGGCTACTCTGCCCAATTCTGCGCATATTTGCTCAGATGGAGCAAACAAATGATGTTCAGCACATCCTCCTTCAAAAGTTCAGTTTTGTAGGCTTGCAGTAGACCACCAGATACAAAAGAGCTTCCATATCTTTAATTGCTGGTGAAACAACATTTTAAAGACTAACCAGATTAATTGGCATCACCTTTCATAGACTTCAGCCCATTTTTATCAGATGCACTAGTGGGCCACAGTGCATGAAAAATTATTTCAATTAAAGCATACTAGTTTTTAGATGCCCAAAGACTCTTTGCTGTTTTTGCAACGATAGGCTAACACACCATCTGCCTGGAAGTTTAATTATTGGATAGAGAAGGGAATTTCCGAAGTTGTAACTTGTTGGGTAGGGTACACTTGTTGAGTTGCCTCTTCTGAACAATAACTAAAAGCCCAAGAGCCCTGTTCTCTTTTGCATTTGACCGCCCTAAACTGCAACAGTGCATCCCTTTCTTATGCATGTTTATTTGGAAGTAAGCCTCACAGTGTTTGTTGTGGGTTACTCCTAGGTAAGTTTGCACAGGATTGTTGCCCAGTCTTGCATATCTTTATGCAGGATCTGAATGGCCACTGTAGGAGTGGTGGGCAACTTGTTGCTGTACTACAGCCCCCATCATCCTTCACTGTTGGCTGTTCTGGTAAGGACTGATGAGAGATGCAGTCCAAGAACATGGGGGGGGTGTCACAAGTTGTTGATGCCTGTGCTCTTGCACCACATAGTACTACTGATTCTTGCTTGGGGCTAAGTCTCTTCAAGTTTCCTGACATTTGTTCCCTAGCAAATGTGTATATACTTGTATCCTTGATATAACTTGTTTCCAAGTATCTGTACTGTATATAGAACTACGGCAGCTGTAATATCATTGGGAAGTTACTGTGAATTAAAATGCAAGCCTGTACATGCCTATTTAGCATTTGGTGGAGCTTGCTCACAAGTAATTGAGCATAGGAGTGCAAATTCAAATCAGTGTAAAGCGTGAACTGGTTTGTGGATCACTCAGTGGTGTTTGAGAAGAGATGAGTGACTGGTTATTCTCATTGACTAATAAATGATGGTAGTGGAGATGTGTTGCTCTCAGCATGCCAGCTGAATAATGTAGATACATTCCCTAGTGCTCAGAGAAGGATTTGTTAAGCAGGTTCTGGGCTTGCATCCAGGTGACTTGCGTTGCAGCTCTGCAGTGTGTGTTGGTGTCTTGCTGATGGCTTGACAGCTCTAAGCACAATAAGGTGGAAAGCAGGTAATGGAAGCTGCTCCAAAGAAGAAAGAGCTCCTGCGGCTTTAATCTGGGTCACAATAATGCAAAATATAAGGCCATCTTCTAAGATGGGTTTAAAGCTGTCAAGAGGCTGTAGAGGACCTGTGTGGGTGAGCTATAGCAGTGCTTAATTGTTTCACAGTCACACCTCCAACCTGTTAAGAGTTCTGCTTTGCTGCAGTGAACCCAAATTTAATCTTTGGTGATGTGGTCTTACCAGCCTATGCTTTTCCCTTTCAAATGGAGAAGGGTGGAGATTTGAAGAGAGGATAAACGCATCCAGTGTAAAAATGGCAAAATTATAGGTCATACAGGTACATTTTTAAAGGGCTTGAAAGCATGTACTGGTATGTTTAAATATACTCTGGTATGCCACTTTATGTCTTACCAAATCAAGTTTTTAAAAATGGACAATTTAGCAAAAATACTATCTTCAAGATGCATTCCTGTAATCTCTTTCTGCTTTCTGAAATATTTGCATGCATGGGGCATTGTATTTGTCTTTTGCTAGTCTGTGACACGGTTGAATGGAAAATATTCGGGAAGGCTGCTGTATCGCTTAACTGTAGCCTGATTCCATCACAGTTTAAAAATCTGCTACTGGTAATAAATATGTGAGCAGCTTCTATTGCACACCTCTCTACACAGTGCAAGTGTTACACAATTATAAATAACTGATGCCATTGAAGCAACAGTATTGGAAGAATGCCGTTTCTTGGCCTAATCACGCTTTTGCATTTTAAGAATCATTTTCTGAAAGTTAAATCTCCAAAAAAAAACACAAATTGTAGTTATTACAATGCTAAAAATGCAACTTTTGTGCACACTCAGAAAGATCTTTGAATCCTTGGAACTGTGGTTTCTTATTTTGTTTCATATTTATAAAACTGGAATGCTTTCATCTATGCCCTGTACATGTTATTTTTTTTAAAAAAAAGATGTTCTAGTAAATGCACATTTTTCTTGTTCATTATGTGATAGTAGTAACTGAAGTCATACCCATGGAAAGAATAATATTCTGCATGCTACTTGGGTAGTCAGGTATGTAGAGGATGCAGAAACTAGTTTAAAATGTCCAATTCCTCATCAAGGAAGAGTAGGGTATATGTTTCTATTTTATAAAGATGGGAAGCCTTTGGGTTCTACGTGTTTAATGCTGCATAAAACAGTGGTGCGTGTAATATTAGTATCATTCTTTGAGCTGTAGAATCTGTTGAGTGACAGGATACCTTTCTCTGTTGTCTTTGCCTGGGGATGCTAATCTACTAGGGCTGAGAGACGTAACATAACTTGGCAGGCAAGCTGAATGCCAGCTACAAAATGCCAAGGTATGCTCTATTGAATGATTGTTGCTTTTTCCCATCTTCTTCTTCTCTCCCCCCCCCCCTTTAATGTTCTTTGCTTGGTGATAGGAACAACAGTGGGAGTGCTGATACACACACAACTCCAGATGGTAGCTGGCATCTTAATAGGGTCATCTAAAATCTGTTTCTTAGTATAATTCCTTGTTCCCCCCTCCAAAAGACAATCAAAACGCAGCTTTCTGGTGGCCCTTGCAAATAGCATTATGTATATGGACCCTGCAGCGGGTTTAGCATGCAAAGTCCTGATGCAGGATGGTCAAGTTGAGTTTAACACTACACATTTGAGCCAGATCAACACATTCCTTTTAATCACTCCTTTTTGTCACTTCCGCATCCCGTCACATCACCCTCAAATCAGGGTTACAATGGCCGCTGCTCTAGTTGTTTCATTGGGTTTTTTTAAAAAAAAAAACTGCGACAATGCCAGGATGTGTTTTTAACTATTTATTACTATATATTAACTTAAAGGGAAAGGTGTGTATACGATGTCATTTTGAAAGCCACATAATCTGCTCTGACATGTGTTTTTTCTAATGCATAAATCTGGCCCTGGGCTTTTGCCAAACGGCAGTAAAGAGACAAGGGCCGTATCTACATGTCAGGAAAGTGCCGTGTCAAAGTAGATTAAAAGGCTTCTGAAACGATACCATTTTGTTTTCCTCAAATGTTAAGATACAAGAATAGAGTCCAGACCGTTGATGTCATGATGAGGTCATTGTACAAGATGAGAGGTGGCTGTGGAGTGAAGGAGGATTGGACAGTGTAGACTGTAGACCCATGCGGGAATAGAGGTGTAATTTGAAGTCGGTGTGACATAGTGATTGGAGTAAGAGAAGACAGCATCTGTTGGTGAGGTTGCCACATAATCGACTCACCAACAATAATTGTTCACCAATGGCCTTACCCTCCCTCCTACAATTTCACTTTAAAAGCCACTGCTTCTGTGTTGCCTAGAAGGCAGCGGTTTTTGTGTCTTTTTCTGCCGCTTATTGTATATCTGAGCATTGCTTGTTCTTTTGACTGCCAATCACAAATGCTTCCCAGCTAGTCTACATGACTTCTCATATCTAGCTGTAACGTCAGAAGACCACCAGCCATTAGATGGGCAGGCATAAAAGACAAGACCTTCCCTGTGGTGGCCACCTCCTTATGGGTTGCCCTAGGCCAGACTATACACATGGCTCCTTCCTACACAGTTCTTGATGATGATGATGATGATGATAATAATCTGTCATCTAGTCAATTCTGACTTATGGTGACTCATTTCAGGATTTTCTAGGTAGAGAACTCCTCCTTCTCACTGGGGTCATCTTGGGCCTGTGTAGCTTACCCAACAACCGCCTTAACACCTGGGTGTTCCAGGCAGTTTTTAGCTGAACAGTGAAAAGTTGTATACTGCTATTCTGTTACGCTGTCATGGTTATTTGATTATTTTTCTTAATTCTGTCCTTTAATTTTAAACTTTTACTCCATCAATTGATTTTGTCTGAAAGGTGGTATCAAAATATTCTAAATTTAAAAAATAGATATTAAAATATATATTAAAATTGGATGCTCTGATTAATTAGCACATTCTGCGAGAAGAGCTGAGAGACCAACAAAGGACCTTAATTTTTTGCATATAGGCCTGTGGGATACCGTCACTGTGGCCCATTTTATTGCTTCTCTCTCTAAGCCAGGAAAGAAGAACATTTGGGGCTCCCAGGGAAAGGAATTCTAGTCCACCAGCCCCTTTTAACACACATTTCTAATTTTGTGAGTCCAGACATATGTAGTATGTAATTTTAAGTTTGTGATTTTAGATCTAAATTGATGGTTTTAGCCATTATTTGTGTCCAGGAACCTCTTGGAGTCACCATGCGTACTAGGGTAACCATGTAGGCAGTATGCATTATTTTGCAGATTACCTGTTGTGTACTCAGTAATTCCCTGGTTGCCTAATGGAGAGCATGGCCAGTGGCATGACAGCCTGCAAAACATGGAAATTGTTTGCATGACTGCCTCTGTGCAGGAGATAGTTATCTAACAGGATCCTGACATGTGTTTTATGTAGATGGTTAGCTGCCCAAAGCTGCTAAGAGGAAAAGTGCAATATAGAACAAATGAATAAATACTATATAAAGATGAGGGGAAGTGGGTCTTTGGGTTTCAGATCCAATTTTCTGCTTCTAGATTTCTGCTTCCAACTCACACAAGACCTGTGAACCATATTAATCTTGCTTGAACATTGAATAAAGGTACCAACACTGCAAGATTTTGTTACAGCTCTCACTTGTAAATTTTTATTCATTCATTCATCACATGTATACGGCACCTATCTAGAACTTAAGCACTACTCTTGGCAGCTAACAGTGGTTAAAAACACAACTACCTGTCTCCACTGAGAAGGACATAAGCACAGAGAACCAGAAACCATGAATAACCCAGGATGTCCAAAAAAGAACAAAATCTGGATAGCAAATAAGATAATCAATTCATGGGTCCACAAGGGTCTCAAAGAGATATTTGTAAAGGTGTCTTCAAACAGTATGGGTTTTACCCATTTCTTGAAAGCCAGGAGGGGCGTATATCTGCAGGAAACACATTCTGTAGTGCTGTAGCCCCCGCCAAGAAGGCAAGATTCCTGGCTGGCCTGGGTGGACAATCGTAGGGAGAGATGCTCCATCTGTTAACAAGGTTCCAAACCATTAAGTTCTGTAACTAACATAGGTGTTGTCTGAAGAACAACTGCATCTACTGCTGCTTCATTTTGTGGGTGACTCTAAGTTCTCATAATGTGTAAGAGAAACAACCTACTCTTCCATCCTGTAGGCTTCTATCATGCTGCTGTCCTTCCAAAACCCAGGAAACTATGTCTTTAGAAAACAAAGGATCTGACAATTGGGTAACAAAGATCCCCCTGTGCTTTAAATAAATTAGAATGTGTCTAGAAACTACATGTTCCTCTACCACCCTCCCTCTCTTTATCCTTAAAGAGAGAACAGCATGAATTGTTTTTAGGTCAATAATACTTACAGCTCATTTTAGGAGCAACTATTTGACATCCC